GAACGAGACAGCTCAGAAATGGGCCAATCACCTGCTGGCTGAAGGCGTCTTTGAGCACAGTCAAACTAATGATGGAGAGAACATCTACAACATGTTCAGCTCAGCAACCATCAAACTGACAGGTTGGATGTACTTTTTTTTTTCCAGTTCTGTACTTCAGCTGTTAACTTTGTAAATCAGAACTTTTGAAGCTGCACCATAAACTAAAGATGTTTACCATAGCAACAAAAAAAAAACAGCCATTTACTCTTGACTCACTTCTCTGGATGCATGGCTCTTCTTTATCAACAATAATAATAATTCTGCAATATGTTTGAGATTATAAAACCCACCTTTTATTTTAACATACATTTGCTTCCTTAAGCAAAATAGTTTTTTTGTATGTAAGAATCCTACTGTTGCTATGCAGTGTGCAGGTAAACTAAACTGTTAGTTTCTGACTTTTATCACTGAGATTGAAATAAAAGAATAGATCGTAAGTGCGTCCACATGTCTGTTTGATTGTTTTGAGCAGTTTCTCCTCCTTCACATTATAGGTAAAGAAGCTGTGGATTCATGGTACGGTGAGATCAAAGATTACAACTGGAGCAGCCCTGGATTCAGCGGAAACACTGGTAAACTCAACCCCCCTCATTGAACCCACAATCAATTAAATATTTGTAGATGAGTGTAAAAGCATTTATACCTACTTTTCTTGAATTCATCATTACTTAATGACTGAAACATAAAAAAGAATCAATATATATTTTTTTTTATTGCTATGAATTGTTGTAAAATTAAGTGGAACAAATTACAAATTCACAAGTTTATCATAGTTTCTATATGGTTTTAATTTAAGATAATGTAATACATTTATGCATTAATATGTATCTATAGAAGAAGTCACACAGCACCACCTTTCAGCCTGTGTTTCCTGCCGCAGGTCATTTCACTCAGGTGGTGTGGAAGGCGAGCACTGAGCTGGGCGTGGGCGTGGCCACTGACGGCAACAAGGTGTTTGTGGTCGGGCAGTACCGGCCAGCTGGAAACATGAACATGAGCGGGTACTTTGAGGAAAACGTCCACCGAGGAGGTAACATTTGACCAGGATTGTGCCTGTTTTACTCTCTTGATATGAGATTAACATTCATCCTACCGACGTTTTTAACATGCAAGGATTAAAAACTAAAAAAACGACTGTAAATGATTTATTTGAAACCATAAGATATGTATTTGATTCTATCTGGAGAGATTTTATTGAAATCATAAAGCAGTAGTCCGGTATGACTAGAAGTGAGTACCTCGGTATGATTTGGATAAAACACATTAACAGAAATTAACAAAGTTCAGTTAACTTTGATGAGTTTCTTGCAGAGGAGCTGCTTGTCAACATGCAAGGCAGGAAACTGCCCCTGAGGTCTCACAAACTCTAAACCACAGCAGCGGCCCAAAATGGGCAAATTTTGCAATGACTGTAGGAAACGTCCCTAAGGGGGCCCCATCTGACAGCACTCACTCTAAAACCAAAGTTAGTCAACCAAAAAAATTAAGAGGAATTATCCGTCCAGTAGAGAAAACAGAAACAGGTGGAAAAAAAGAGGTAATGGAGTAAGCATCGAGACACTGGCAGACTTGTAGGGCCCCCAAATATTTCTTGCCTGGGGTCCCAACTGACTCTAGACACACACACACACAAACTCAGATTTAAAAGAAATTAAGAACTGCAACAAACTTAAGGACTTATACAATATTTGGAGGTATTGAATCACATGCATGCCTGTTTTTTATATTCAAAGATGTAAATATCAGAGAGGAGAATTCTGCAGGAGCTGTAGATGTTAAACCTCTTTTGCTCTTTACACAGAGAGCTGAAAGTATGACATATTTGCTCTGCTGTTTGTGATATAACTCATCATGTTACTCTATATGCACCATCTACTGTAACTAGATATGGTTCTTATCATGTTGTAGGTGTGAAGAATATTCTCCTTAGTGTTTCTGCAGCAGCTTCTCCTTCTTTAGTTTTATCATTTACAAGCCTCACCAGCGCTCACTGTCGTCTTCCAGAGTAAAGGCTGTGCATTTTACAGCTGGCGGAGAGCCGGGTGGAGCAGACAAACCCAACAGTGAAGGAGGAGGAGCGAGCCCGAAGAAAACATGCACACTTCTGTAAAAGACCCTGCAGCGTCCCTGCTGACCCCAACATCTCACTGCTGGATCCTCAGTGATGTAAATACGTTTTAATAAATACAATAAAAACCCTCATTGTCTTAAAAAAAATGTCTGGACTCAGAGTGCTTTAAATGGAGGTTATGTTCATAAGCCCTGTAAGGCCAAAAAATGTCAAATAATTATCAGAAAATTCAAATTTTTTCACTCACTAAAGATGCAGAGGTATATAAGACAAAGACAAATATAATTAATTTGTCTTTATCGTGTTAAAGAATATCAGAATATTTTCTAATATGTAAGAAAAAAGATACATCCAGTGTATTCAGGGGGAAACTGTCACTTTATGATTGTCTTATTGTTCATAAGCAGATTGTTATTAGCTATGTTACCATCATTATCTGTCAAACACCATGCTTAGACTGCTCTGCACTCACACACATCCATCCTGCAACAGTTTCTTTTTATTAAAGGGAATCATCGTTTTACTCTCACACACCTGGGCATTACTTTCATGCTTTCAGCACCTATGACTCTTATGATAACTCGTAATATTTCACTCTGACAATCACACCACATGCATGATCAGTAATGTAAACATGTCTAATTATTCACATTAATGATAGAGGCTGTATTTTATTATCCAGATGTGTTGTATTTTTTATACTTTTTTTGGTGGGATTTTGGTGCAAAGCTGAGATACAGAAATTCAATCCCTTATTTTATACTAACGAAAATCAACAATTAACCGTTATGTAAAAGTGTCTTTCTCTCCAGAAGAAACAACTGAAGAACCTGTCCATGTGAATTTAGTTCTAAAGAGTTCCACCAGGTGGCGACATAATGCATCAGAACCACAGACTGCATTAAAAGAACATGTTTATATCATTCAATGATCAGAAGAGGTTTCCTCTCTGCATGATGCCAGTGTGAGAGAAAACACGATTATTCAGCGTTTATTTTTATACACGTATGATTTATTAATTATTTTAAGTATCATTATAATTTATTTTATTCTGTTTGATGAACCTCTCATTGTTGATAATTCTATTTATTATCAACACTTCTTACCATAATCACTTCATTTTCATGTTTATGTCTTCTTCAAATTTACTAGGTACTTTAAACTACAGTTAATGTGTTGACATTTTGACTGATTAATTAATGTATTGATTCATTGGTTGATACATTTGTCGATTACTGGATTGATTAATATATTAGTTGATAAATTGCCCGATTTGTTGATTTATTGATTGATTGATTGATTGATTGATTAGGTTTGTTGCTGGTGACTAAGCGGCTTGTGCGGTGCAGACAGTAGTCCTGAAAGCTAATTTGGTTAAATAATAATTGTTTGGATATTTAATATGGTCTAATCTGGGTTAATAAAGAATTACTTAAACTTTAACTTGGTGTTGTTTTCCATTTTTGTTGTGACTTCCTGAGCCGGGTCATGACATGTGATGATTTATGTTAATGATTTACTTATATTTATTTGATGACATTTTCTTTTCTAATTGCAGAATACAGCTCTACCTAGTCAGTTTACAGATATAACAGAGGGTGACCAAGTTTCTCTGTATTTCAGTGGGAGACAGAAAAGCAATTTAACAAAGTTTTATTCATAGAAATTTATTTATTTATTTTAAAAAGTATTCTCAATTTTGTCTTGTGGAAGTCGGGAAGATAATGATTAGACGTTTGAATCTTTTCAGAGATTTGCTGTGTAATCCTGAATTATTATTCCTATAACCTGCTGCTGCTCCTATAATACTGAGAAACTGCAGCCCATCATCATCATCATCATCATCATCATCATCATCCTCACTGCCCTATACCTTTTTATCAAAGGTGTGTTTGGAGAGCAGGTAACCACACAGTTCACTTCTGTAACGTCATGCAAACATGCAGCTTGTCAGGAGGACGATTACAGATACACATGAATGCTCTGTCTGATGGTATAATGTGCTTCTGTCCAGGTATGAAAAGCAGGACGATATGCTTGGAAGACATTTACATCATCATCAAACAGGTCAAAAGCATTCTTGAAATATTTGCCTAACCTCCCAGTCAACTCAGTGTTCAGCTGACACAGAGTGCCCCCTTGTGGCCGTTGGAAATATACCTTTCATTCATCTGCAGGCCTTGCAGACATGACAGAAACCAGAACCGTTCTTTCTTTGAGGTTAATCTTAGTACATCTGTTGTTGCTGATTAAAGGATTGATATAATGAATCCAGTGTGCACAGTTACCTGTACATGTAGTTTATTCTGTGTTGTGGATCTCAGGAGTTTTGAAAGAATCTCTGACGGTAGGACCAAATCAAGATGTCATTTTATTTTCATAGAAAGAGGAAAATATCTCAGCGGCAATAGTATGAAATGTAGAAAACTTCAAATGAATGATAAAAAGTCTCTAAAATGAAACAACTGACCAATGTATTTTCATTTGACATTTCGTTGCATTTTGCAGAATTCAACTTGGCAGGCTTTTCAGCTGTACTGACTTACAATCATCTGCCTTTGGAGGACTTAGGTCACAACTTTTTGTTTTTGGACTAACAGATATGAGCACAAAGGTCAGAGTTCAAGATGTAAATGGCATGACCAAGTAGTATGTCAAAATTGTGTGCATACTGCATGCAAACAAGGTGCTGTAAAGGCAGCAACAGTGCATGCAAGACAAAATTACTGCATGTCACTATCTGTAAATGGTTACTAACCACATATTACCCTGGGAGCTCCTGAGCTCTCATGTCCGAGCAGTGGAGGTTCTAGACCACTTTTACTGAGGGGGCCAGTTGTTTTGTCAAAGGGGCACATTCTACTGAGGACAAAAAGAGACAAAGATATTCATGCTTTAATAATGTTTAATGGCATCTTAACAAAAGATAGCGGACAACATAAAATACCATGATTGGTATTTGTTTCGGTGTTTCCGTAATAGTATTTAATACTGCATTACATTCCTACTTTTCAAAGGGAAATATTACACTTTCTTTTTTTTTACAACTAGTTACAGTTACTTTGCAGATTAAGATTCACATAAATAATATACAGTACAAAAAAACATGTTAAGAGTTTACAAATTACAATATTGAAAATAATAAAATATCCCTGTTAGGATATTCTTTGCTGCAACACATCTTTGTAGTGATCAATGAACAATGAATTAAGCTCTACTTTACTAGTGTCTCTAGAATTTCACATTAAAGCAACTGTATTCTGCGGTTTTTGTGATTTTTGGCAAACCGATCAATAAATAAATCAAGATTCAAAACCTTTGCCCTTGTAGACTCAATATTAATACACCCAGATTGCTCAATCTCTCATCCGTTATGGTGGACCTGAGGTAAGTTTTCACCAGTTTCAGCGTAGAAAAACTACGCTCACAAGAAGCAGTACTCACTGGGCTGGCGACTGCAATTTTGCAGAGTCTGAAAAGCTAAAAAAACACTTCTTTATAGGGCTCAATGAACAGCACTAGCTCTACTGTACTAGAGGGTCTCTGCATTCCAGACTGTATTTTCCTTTCTAGAATTCGTCTGAATTGATGTAGTTCATGCCCCAAGTCATCAATGTTTGAATCATCGAGCAAATGCAAATGCAAATAGAGCTGTATCTTGCAGGAATGCATCACTTTTGGGGTTTAGAGCTTGGATGCTATTTATTAATTGACAGTTAGTCTTTGAAAACCTTCTTATCAATGACGGGGTAGAAAAAGGCTGTACGAAACCTGTTTTTATCTGGTTCTGATGCTCTCTGACCAACAGTACTCAGTACACAGTGTTCATTGAGTTTGGAGCTTTTTTGTCGTTTGGCAGCTGGCTGTGTTGGCTGCTGACTGTGGCTGTGTGTCTGTTGCAGTATCACATCGCTCAGAAATGTTCAACACATCATCCCACAAGTTATTAAAAAATGACTCCTGCCTAAAGTCATTCAATGTCTGAACCAAAGCTTCAACTAAATCAACAGCTTTTGAAATGTCAAGTGATGAACACTGTAGCATATCAGAGAGAAGTTTTGTTTCTCCAAACACTTTACGGAGTGTAACAAAATGCACAATGAATTCAAGATCTATCTGTGCCAGCAGACCTCGAGCCTCAACAGATCTTTCACCTTTGTGTTCTTGGGCTATCTCTTGCACTACTCGCTTAAGGGCAGGCAATCTATCCATGATGTTACGTAGAGCTACAAATCGACATGCCATCGAGTGTCACTCAATCGTGGTAGATCTCTTGGTGCACCTTCGTACATCTCTTTTTGTATAGTTAGCCATTTAGGATGGACGTGAGCCAGATGTGAACACATATAGTTTTTCTGGTAAGGAGAAGAACTCCTCTGCTGCTGGGACAGCTTTGACTGTATCCACTAAAACTAAGTTTAGACAGTGGGCATTGCAATGGATGTAAAAGGCATATTTTGCTTGCTCTTTGATTCTAGCTTGGACCCCGGTACGCTTACCACTCATGACTGCAGCACCGTCATATGCTTGGCCTACAAGCTTGTTTTTATATTCTAGACCATGAACATCACAAAATGTGGATTATTTTTCAGTAAGCCCCGCTGCATCTAGCTTCTCGGCAGATTCAAAATGAAGAAAACTCTCCTTAATAGCTCCATTGAAGTAGTACCATAGAACTAGAGAAATCTGTTCTTTTTTCTTTCGTCTCATCTGTCATGATGCTGAAGACTTCACTTTGTTCACTTCTTCTGTAATTTCAGTTCGAACCATTTCTGCCAAACAATCCAGAACCTCATCCTGAATGATTTTGCTCGTGTACTTCGCATTACGAATGGAAGTTAGTCTTTTTTTAACAGTTTTGTCATGGTTAGCAATTGTCTCTAGAATTGCCCTGAAGTTCCCTTTATTATCTGAGACTGCAGACTCATCATGTCCTCTTTGAGTAATGTTTTGTGTGGCAGTAAGTAGTAGCACTTCCCTATGGTTTTTATGTATTCCTGATTTTCTGTAACCAGTCTGTTATGTTCCTTGTTTAGGACATTTGGCAATGTTGAATTTTTGCTACAGATCTCTTTCTCTATGTAATCATTGGATGTTTATGCCTCTCAGACTTGGCATGGATTGCAAAATCCCCCCTCTCTGTAGGTTGCTTTCTTCCAGTTTTTGAATCCGGATGGTGAGTCAAAAACTGAGTCTGTGCTATTAGGGGCGCTAAAATGTCTACAGGCGTAACAATATGCCGGTCTGATTGTTTGGAGTACTCAAGCCAGGGGTGTATCCTGTACCAGGAGGCCTTGAAGCGCCTTCTCCTGTCCCCCGTCAAGGTCCGTGGAAACAAGGTCATGTTGGGCTGCATCGGTGGCTGTGGAGAAAGTCAAACCAAATCATATGGCACGTATTTCACTAGCAATCAAGAAACACCAGTTATAGGCTATCTACAATTATCAATCAATGACATGAAGGAGAATTTGATTTCTTCTCAATCATAAGACAACACACTTCTACATGGACACACATTCTAAACTTCAATTCAACATCACACACCTGATGGTCCAGTGCTTGTGGATGCACCTGTGTCCTCTTGTGTCTCACTCTCTGGACCTTCATCTGCATCATCTTCCTTCTCTGTGTCCTCACTGTCATCTGTCAAGTCCCCTGGCTTTCTCCCCCTGACGCTCTCCACTCCCTGTGCTCCCTCAACACCTGGATCATCTGTGTCTGTTTCTATGTCTATTAATGCAAGCAAACGTTTAACTTTTAAGTTAGCTAACTAGTCAACAACAACATTTCCTGACCAGTCTTACCTCGTAACAATTAGGCTACACGAATAAAAATGTTTTGCTCACCTTAAATCTTACGTGTCGATGTTATTGGTCTCTGACATTAGACTCTTGATTGTTTACTTCCGGTAAGATCTGGCAGTGGCGGGTAACGTCGTCAGCGGATGCAGCGTCAGTGTACCGCTCTAAAGGGTCCGACGAGAATCTTGAGCCCACAGAATTAGAATGACTAGTTCCATTCATGGTTGTTGATTTGACGGGGATGACCTCTCTTTTCATTTAAGCTCTGTGGTTGAGCCACAATTGTTCGGCCTTTCGCTTTCGCATCAGCGCAATATCATCGAAATTAATTATTGTTTTATTAATATGCTCTTCGTTTGGAGGGGGGGGGGGGGATTGATAGCTCAGTGTTACAGGAGCACTGGCCCCTGTTGGCCCCTCCCCAGAACCGCCAGTGTGTCCGAGCCTTGCTGCTATGGACCCCCCTTGTCCCTATCCTTCTTCCTGCATCTTATCCCATCTAAGGTCAAAGTCAGGTATCTTTATTGTTCTCACAGGGAAATTTGTTTGCAGCCGGAAATATACAAATACATAAACAACACTTAAGAATAATCCAACTAACATTAGGTGCATAAATACATTAAACATGAAAGCCCAGATGCTCCAGTCGATAAAAGTGATAACAGTGAAAGTGCAATGTGCAATGAGCAGGAAATTAAAATTTAACTGCTATTTAATTTGCAGTTGGATTTTAATTTCTTATCTGCCCCTATCCCATTTTTCAAGCCCCGCACAGTTTCGGCAGAGGGCTGTTCATCATGAGCCTGGTTTTACCCAAGATTTCTGCCTCTTAAAAGGACGTTTTGCCACTGTAACTTTACTAATGAAAAACCTTGAGACTTTGTAAAATAAAAAAGAGTAGGGTCTTCTATATATACAAATAAAGATTGATTGATTGATTGATTGATTGATTGATTGAAACTACTTCAGATTAAGAATCAGCTGTATGTATACAAATACAAGGAATCTAACTCCAGTTATTTATGCTTCTATTAAAGTACACACAAGAAGATTTTTCAGGATAAAAAAAAACAATATTCAACCAAGATCTATACATAGTAAAATTATTAATGTTCATATGCATCATAAGAATATGAAGCATTAACACTCCAAGACAGTATGAAAAAAAGACAATAATGCCATGTTGAAGTATACAAGGGTGATGCATAAAATGGCATAACATTTACAAGTGTGCATAGGTCTGCATTTGATGCAGTTGTGAAGTTTACAATTTGTAAACAGGGTCCATTAAACAATAATATATAAAATGTGAATCTAAATCAAATCTTTTGGCACAGTAGTTGTTTGTGTAACAGAGTTATTGCACATAAATTGTTCCTGACTCACAAGGACTGAGTGAATTATTCATCATTGTTCTTTTGTCTGATGTTTCGGTGTGCATGCTCTCTATCGCCCCCCTAGAGAGGAGGAGTTAGAGGAGTTTTGGTTTAAGGAGGGTCATGCCATTATGTTAACTGGACCGGTATATTACTGCTTCGTTATAAATGAACTGCACTCTTCCTATGGTTTGGTTGAGCCACAGCAAAGGCGATGACGTTGATGTTTTCACTGTTTATATGTTTTTTTAATCGATAAAATGTTGCCCTTCTTTTGATGAGACTTTAAAAGCTTCCTTACACTGACTGTACTGCAGAGACAGTGACTAAGCATGAATACATTTCCCACAAGCCCTGCTGCTTCCTGGTCCCTCCCCTTTTGGCATCCTAACATGATGGAATGGATTTTATTATCCTCCAGCTGCCTGCAGTGCGGTCATAAAGCCATTAAAGGAGGATGGCCTTTTTGCTGATATTTGAGCCTGGATATATGATGTATGAATGTTATCATGCAGTAAATGTGAGGTCATCATCTGTGTGCTAAAGTACACAGATCCTTGAAGACACACAGTAAAGAGTGTCAGTATACCATTGTACAGTATAAGACCCTCCCCCGCAGCAGCCAGCTGCAGCAACACCCCACAATATGACTGCTGTTTGTGTGAGCAGATATTCTGTGCAGGGTGGGCGGATTCATTGTGGACTTCCCCTGGACCACGTTGACCATCATTCTGAGTGCATTGTGGGGCTGTGGCTCAGCATTGCCTGCTGGTGACTGTCTGACTGTATTAGCATCAAATGGACTTCCTGACTCAATCCTCTGGAGAGCAGCCAGACAGACACAGGACTCTTAAAGACACATGACGCACAGTAAAGGAAAGGGAAAAATCAATGTTGGAATGCTTTTTAAAATGCTTCAAATAGGATATATGTATCTGGCTAATGGCTCTATAGGCCAAATAATGAATTTATTCTTCCTCCACTTGAGGGATGTTACTTCAGAAATTGCATTAGGGAAAAGGGAAATGCAGTATAATTCAAAGTGTTCTTTTAGCTTTTTGATCTACCTTTACTCCCCTCAATCGACAACTCATGACAGAAATCTTGATATGGACTCTGACCCACATTTTCCCAGCCACAGTAAAACAGCCTCTTACCATATTAAAAATATAGCTTTGAACTAAAGCTCTATGATTCTGTATAAATAAACTTGCCTTTCATGCTTGATTATGCACAGCCCATATTTAAGCAGCTAGCCCTGCTGTTTGTTGCATTTCTGACTGATTATACCTCAGTATTGATATTTATATTAACATCAATATGATACAAAAATATAAAATTATAAATACAGTGATTTAACGTTATTTTAAACACTATGCAGTGCAATTTTTCACAAGGGACAGAGGTTGAGATGGTCACGCTCTGCTAAGCTAGCTCTGCTAAGCTAGACACTTAGCCACAATTTGGTTGTATGCCTATTGTTTCTCTCTCCCTCGCTATCATTAACATTAAGTAGGGCCTAATATAGTAATTTAGAAACTCTAAATGATAAATAAACGTATTGATTTCCCAGATGTTTGTTTTTTATTAGGCTACAGCCAAATATAAATAGGCAACATTTTATTTTAGCTATTGAGGAAGTTAGCAGCTAGCTTATGCAGGCCTGTTGCTTTAGCTGTCAAACTGGTTGCCTCTGTATTTGGGAACGTGTTTTAAGAGCAAACAATAGTCTATAATTATCATAAAAGCTGTAAATCCTATTATAAGGGAGAATAGCCCAACATTTTAATGTCATAAGACTTGTTTCTCAGTCACTGTGAGAATGAGGCCAACATCTCATTTCTACGCCAGCTAACAGCGCTTCTTGTGTAATAGATGTTTGAAGGACTTCCATTTGCTTCTCCATGCGGGTGAAGAGTTTTATCAAGTGATTATTTTAGCATGTGGGATACATTTCTTGACATCTTTCGATCTCTGGAGTAAATGGTTGCAAGATGTTCAGCAATTTCCTCAAGGAAATCATTAGCTCGTCACCTTCTGTAAGGATGTTGTTCCTAACCAGAACTCAAATCTAAGCAAGTGATTTTTGTCCAATTTTTGATGACAAAAATGTCTCATTTACACCTTTTATAAACCACATATAACCTGACAAGTCCAGATAAACATCTGATCTCAAGATAAGCAGAACATAAGGCCTGAATTGCTTCTAACCAGTCAAAAAGAATCTGCCAATGGGGCAAGTAATTTTTGTATCTGGAATTTGTATTGACTAATTTAGAAAAATCATCTAATATTTATACTTACCAATTATTTTAAGTAGAATTTTCTTGTCCCATTGTCAGATATTTTTACAGTCAGTTCAGGCCTTATTAATTGCTCCTTATGAACCCCAAATACGATGATTATCTGGTCCATATTGTGCATGCATGTGCTGAATATGGCTTACATGGAGTTATGAGACATTTTCAAACAGAAATTAGATGAACACACTTAAATTTGAGTTTTTGCAGTGTAAAGTTAACGTAGTCATGTCTTTAGTCTCACTCACAATCAAACGTGTTTACACTGGCATGATATGTCTTTTCGTGTTATTAGGGTTAGATTCCTGACTTAACTCCATTAAAATGTTATTGTGTCTTTTTATATTAGTGGTGCATTATTTTCACTGTGTTTCTTTGGTATTATTTTATTGTAAGTATAACTAAACAGTGTTTCATGTCAGGCATCAGTGGCCACCTAAACCACCCTCATCTAGCATATTTGAAACATCTCTGTTTAAGTGTATTCATCGTGTTTCTTTCCCAGCTATCCTGTTGTATCTCACTGTTTCTTCAACAAAGCCAGCTCAGGGTGTAATCTGCAGGTCAAACAAACAGCATGCCTGACACACTATGATCATGTCTGATGTGGGTCTGTGGCCTGGAACTGTTGGGACTGGCTGAATACTGGAGACTCAGTAACCTGATATGAGAGTGAATCAGTGTTTCTCTCTGCAGACGTACGTTACATGAGCCCAGCTGCTCCTGCCTAACACCTGTCCATTCCGATTAACCCACAATATCCACATTACAGGACCAGGCCCACAGTGGAAGACTACTCCCACAGTTTGCGAGTTATTGTTCTCAGTATAATACAAGTTATAGCTGGGTTTTTGGCTCCCATGATCTCAATCATTTAGACTAAGTTGGTCATATTTAGTCTGTGCTCTCTTATGTCTGTATCTGCCGTTTTCAATAAAACATGCTAAAAATGATCTGATTTTGTTGTATTTTTTCATGCAAATAGTAAATTCCAATAAAGAGACACCTAAATTATGAGAGCTAAATATTATCCTGATTCTACTCCATTGTTTGATTTCTTCTTGTAAATTTCCACCAAGGGCATGATGGGAAACACAAATTTAGGTGTTGTTTTGGCAACAGTGACCATGACAAACACCCTTTGCAATATACAAGTAAGAGTCCATGCCTGCACATTTGTTATGCTATTCGTGCTATTCCTCATAATCTGTACAACCATAGAGAAAAACGCCCATCCAAACAAAGAGGGCAGGTGCTGAGTCGAGCAAGAAGACCTCTTGAAACAAAGGAAAAGACGGCTCGCACACTACAGGGCTCCAATATTCGTGATAATTTAATTCACCAGGGTAGTGACATTTGTAGCAGAGCTGCTGTTCATCCCACTAAAGTAACATTGAACTGTGTCATCTTAAATTCCGTACCTGATAGTACATACTTTATTGTCATCCGGGGGGATATTTGTTGTCACAGCTTTGGTCT